CAGTTGCAGAAAATCAGTGAAAAACGTAAGAAAATATTCTTTTTCTCTACATTAATTAGAATCTTTGGATTTCTTTCACCTATTTCTCAATAATCAGTCCCACTAAACTTCTAATTTGTATTCTGTATATAGGTCTAAAAAAAGGGACAGGTTTTCACACTTTACTACGCTTAAATGTCCATGTTTGCTGGAAAAGTAGAACTGAAGATTTTCATTTTAGGGTTAGTTCGTATTTCAATTTGATAAACAGTTCCTCCTTTGGATTTTAACTTTTATTTCCTTAAATTTGTAAAAGCATTGGCGTCTTGAACATACTTGAAATTGTTTGAATTTTGAAATGCAGGTTATGTTAAATGCTTTGTTATGAAAGTAAATGGGATTCAATGGGAGCCCAGATGAATTCATAGGTTTTTCTCCATCAATTATTACTTGGTAATTAAAGGATTCTTCTTCAGTTCTTTGGGGTCTTATCCTTTTACTAGTTTTTTTGTTTGTTTCCCAACGGGTATCCGGTATTCGCAGTGGGACCCGGGTAACTGGATTTTCATAGCGTAAGAGGAAACACTCTCTACCAAGATTTGTTTTCATTCCTAGGGCTCGGACGCAATACCTTTGGTTAATACAAGTTTTGCTAGTTAAAAGGACTGAGCTTGATTATTGAGTCTCTTTCATGAAAAAAAATGAATAAGCTATTGATTCACTTGTTGACTAGATTTATTAGGGTCTTCTTTTTCAAACCAGTAGTATTAGAACGTAGTCTCGTATATTTTTTATTCTTAGATTCCTAGTACTACGTTTTGTTGATTAAAATTGTTAGTACTTCTTTTACCTTTGATAGTTTGAAGTGGCCTTAACATCTATTGACTGATAAGACAAGGAACCAATTTCTGCATTCTTATGAAGTTTCAGTGGCTACTTTTAGCTAGCGTTTGGACATAGATTTGGTTGAATTTTGAAAAATGAGATGAAAATTAGTTTTTGAAAGTTGAAATTGTGTTTGGAAATGCATTTTACTTATAAAGAATTTGAAGTTTTGTGAGTAGAAAACTTCAAAAGCTACTTTAGAATTATTTTTGGGATTTGAAGATTTTGTTTTCAAAATCTGCCAAAAAATGGTTCAAAATCTATAAACAAACAGATATTTGAAAATAAAATTTGAAAAAAAACTTCCAAATTTTATGGCCAAACGGGAGCTTTAGTTTTGATAGTGTGGAGTTAGGTTAATCTAGCTGTTAATAAGTTCTGAGAAAACCTTATCACACTTCCGAATTTACGATAGTAAGATGAATGCACAACTAGAGTACCTGAATACAACTTATATAATTGTAGTCAAGCTGTTGAATCACGTAGTTAAGTTATTGACAGATTCACTAAGATTGGAGAGCTTCCGAGATGTTTATACAATCAAGTCCAAACGAAAGGACCGAGTAGATATCTTTCTTCACATTACTGGACAACTTTAGAACTCAAGGCTCTAGAACTTGAAACATCCTTTCAATTGGTTTTACTATTTCCATATGATTTTGTTTATGTACTTTGTCCTAGCTGTGTCGCGAACTTTCAAACCTTACAGTTATTCAATTTTTACATGGAAAACAACAGACAAAGATGGAAGTCAATGAAGGAGCAAAAATAGCTATAGCTAGACCAGTCGCTTCAAGGCCTAGATGTCCTATTTACAAATCTTTCTCCGAGCTCTTGGCTGGTGCAATAGATATCTCATCGACGGATGTTCATTCTGAAATGGCTATTACAGCCATAAGACCAAAGACTGTCAGGTTAAAGCCTGCAACAAACAATGCTTTAGTTGACGATCTTTCTTCACAGGTTGATAATCTCTTCTTTCTAAGTTTCCGTCACTTATATGGCCCCTAACCTCTTCTTTGTTTACTATAAAGGTGCATTTTGAGTAATATTTCAATTGTTTTCTGTGCAATTTTGTAATCTTATAGAAAGACTTGTTACTTCAGGTTGGCATGTCTGGTGCACCAGTTGGTAGTCGATCTGATAACATCTTGCAACTGTTAGAGAAACCAAAGGTCCTGTTTAAGCCCATGGCCAAACATGCACCGAGGAAAACCATTCCTCTCCTTGAAAATAAGGTTAATTTCCTTTTTACATGGCTAAACTAGCTGTGAAAATGTACCATTATACTCTAGCTCTGCGACAATAACAAAATCTAGCACATGTTATGCATAGGGAAGTTTTGCATCTGATCAGCAACAAGAAATAGCTGAGGCTGAGGCTCATGTTCAATCAGCAAATGAAGTTAAACAACAACATGATCATACGACAGAATCTCAACAAAGTCTCTTGGCAAAATCAGACAAAAAAATAGTGCATTCAACAATTGTATCTGAGAACACAGAAGAGGTTGAACAATCTTTGATCAACACGAGTAATGTTGATCGTCCTAGTTATGATGGATATAATTGGAGAAAATATGGACAAAAGCAAGTTAAAGGAAGTGAATACCCGAGAAGTTACTATAAATGCACGCATCTAAAGTGTCCTGTGAAAAAGAAGGTTGAAAGATCATTTGATGGACAGATTGCAGAAATTGTTTATAGGGGTGAGCACAACCACCCAAAGCCTCAGCCTCCGAAGCGCAACTTGTCAGATGGACAAGGCCGAGCAGCCGTATGCAATGACACTTCAAAAGGAACAAATAACCCTTCATGGAGTAACCTACTTCCTCAGACGAGTGAAGCTTACGTATGTAGGATGGAAAATCAGAATGATGTTGGATTGTCTATGCATTCAGCTTATTCCAGCAAAGCACCATGCTTTTATGATTCCATTGCAGCTGCGGGAATGCACACTGCTGCCCGAAATTCTGAAGATTCTGCTGAAGGAAGTAAAAAGTTGGAGGCTACTTGTGATGAACCAAAAACTAAAAGAAGGTAAGTAGCAAGAAAATTCAATTAAATCAGCTATCTGAAATTAGTGCATCTACGGACGCCTTGGTAGCAAAAACTTTTCACTCATTATTGTTGCTAACAGAGGCGGATCCAGGATTTGAGCCTTATGGGTTCCTACCGTAATTTCAAATTAATATGCAATAATAACTGGGTTCACAGTTAGATATTTACAAATTTTTAGTAAATTTCTTAATATAAATACACGGTCTACGCAAGAGTTACTGGGTTCCCGGGAACCCGTATTCAATGCTCTAGGTCCGCCCCTGGTTGCTAAGTCATTTGTGTATTAGTTCATCTTTCAGAAATTTTTGAAAGAACTTTCTTTGCAACAAAACTTAAGGTGAGAATTTTCCCTTATGTAAAATTTAATGTTTCTTTGACTTGGTACTGGGAAAACTTATCATTACATATTCGGGACTGTGGTTTTCATTTTATCAGTTTGCTTTACAGTGCAAAAGTAATTAATCTGATTAGTGAATACTGTGGTGTTTTTACTTCCCAGGAAAATTGAAGGCCAATCCAATGGAGCAGGTACATCAGGGGAAAGTGAATTTCCTTATATGCCAAACCAAAATACAACTGACTCTGAAATTACTGAGGATGGCTTTCGCTGGCGAAAATATGGCCAGAAGGTTGTGAAGGGAAGTTCATATCCCAGGTAAAATCCTTTTCTCATCCTTGTGGACAAAAATTATGTTGCTCGGACTCTCCGAAAATGTCTCCGGGTGCGTGTCGGATCCTTAAAAAGTAGTGTATTTTTGGAGGATCCGATACGAGTGCGTCAACTTCCGCGCAACATAGGACAAAAATAGTACACAAAATCCAAGGGAATACGATACATGTCGGAAGAAAACATAATAACTCACAGAGCCATGCATATGGTGAAGGTTATTTATGGATTTGGTAGCTTTTCGAATGGTAAACATCGGGTTCATAATACTGAGACGACTATGTGAGACTTTGTTAGATAATTTAATTTCAATGTGCAAATATTTTTTCTTAATTCTGCCCTCCCTACTTAATATGACATATTTTCCGACTATCATGTCTTGATTTGTGGAAGGGAAGCCTTGGCGTAACTGAAAAAGTTGCTGCCATGTGATCAGGAGGTCACGGGTTCGAGCCGTAGAAACAGCCTCTTGCAGAAATGCAGGGTAAGGCTGCGGACGACAGACCCTTGTGGTCCGATCCTTCCCCGGACCCCGCGCATAGCGGGATCTTAGTGCACCGGGCTGCCCCATGTCTTGATTGGTGCTTTGTACAGGAGTTATTACAGATGCACAAGTCCTAAATGCAACATGCGAAAGTTTGTTGAAAGGACCACAGATGATCCCAAAGCCTTTATTACTACATATGAGGGGAAACACAACCATAGCGTTCCAAATAGAAGACCAAATTCTGAGGCATCCAAAACAAGCTCAAAATCTTCAACTATTAAAGAGAAATCATATGTGACGTGATCAGAAGAACCTCATTCCGGCAAAATAAATGAGTTATGCTAATATTATACTCTCAAGAAGATGGTTTAGCAACTGGGAAATTAATGAAGTTAAACTTACTGCAGTACTAGTCGTTATATTTCCTTTGCTAAACTATCTTTCTATGGAATACTACGAAATATAACTATGTTGAAGCCATTGAACCTGGAAAAAACCTATGCAAGAAGAGGGTACTTTTGATCTCTTTCCAAGCACCAGGAATGTAAACTACTGGCCTCTATCTTTCTAGTTAAGTTGAGAAACAGTTCTCATAATATGACTTCTTATTTGAGTAATTATATTTTTCTACCTAATTTATAGGATAAGTTGGCAAACTTTTGCAGAGAAAGTGAAGGCTAATTCCTCCACTTATCATGGAGTTATTCCGTAGATTTCAGTACTGATTTCTTTATATATTGAGATAAAGTATACATATATATTTACAATTTACATAAAAAAAATACTTTTTCTGTATTTCATTACGAGTAATTATAAAAGCTGATGATAACTACGCTTCACTTTTGAGAAGGAGAATATGGAAACATCGGCTCAAAAGACTTTGAAATAGCAATGTGTTACTTATTCAGTTTTGCTTTGAATCTAGGGGCTCAATCCCAAGAATCAACTCTTGGGGTTCACACAGGATAATTAATGATCAATATTAAGTAGTTTAATACACACGCAAAAACATAATTGTAACTCCTGAGATGCTATATCTATCTCTGCTGATACTAGTCTCCAGCACAAGCAACAAGTCTCAAGCTAAGCACAATCTACACACAACAAACATTGATCACTTTATTTATATATGTATTACTAATGCATAATCCTTTTTTAAGTGCATGACATGAATGGAGCACCCCTTTATTTCAATTTTATGCCTGCAATAAACAGATGGAAAGGATTAGCTTAGGATATTCACACACAAGCAACGGAAATATCAACTTCTTTACATATGAGAGTAACTACCAAAAAACGGCTCTTATATAAGTCGACCACTTTCTGGGGATCAACTTTTGTCTGCTTGTAACCATCAACCTTGTTCATTTCCTGCAGGGAAATCATAATGCATATCATAACCAATCAATCAATAATGAGTTAACTATGCCTCAATCCAAAACTAGTTCGGCGACCATAGAGCAGAATTATATATATGAAAATGGCAAGTCAACAGTAGAACCACCACAGGATAGAGCTTCAAAACCTTATCTATTTAGTGCAGCATTAAAAAGATTGAAATTCTACCCATAAAAGAAAATCCCTTAATCCCACCCCTCATAAGCACCCATTTCTTGGTTTTTCTCCTTTCTTTAGTTTGTACGTGCTTTAACTAGTGTATATCTTGAACACTTGAAATATAGCAGCTTATGGGACAGCCAGGTACCTTTACTGACACAATTCTAAGGCAAGTAAAGTTAGCATAAATAGAGTAATCATACCTCTATCCATTTTGCTAGTTTTGGCCTCCCAGATGTGATATCATACTTAAACACCTCTTGCAAGAAGATTTGGAACCTTTCAACAAAGGGAGCATACGCTATGTCAACCTAATGCACCACAGTTTCAAGTTTAGCGTGATGAAATTTAAAAATCCGGACACATACATCTAGGTTATTCTTAAAAGGTAGTAATAGCTTATATAGCATACAACAACAAAGCCAATGTAATCTCATAAGCGGGGTCTGGGGAGGATAGTGTGTATGCAGCCTTACTCCTACCTTGTGAAAGTGGAGAGGCCGTTTCAGATAGACCCTCGGCTTAGGGGAATAGCTTATATAGCATATTTTAGTAAAACTACCATCTTATACTGCATACTATGAGAGGAAAACACCTAAACAAAGGGGGATTACTGACCTGACTGAACTGTCCAAGGAAGAAAGGCCCATCATCAAATTTGTCCAGAGCTTTTTCTAGGTAGTCAAATTGTGGTCCTGGTGTAAGTGTGAACTATTGTTAACTTCTCATGAGAAAATTACAAAATAGTACATAATAGTAATAAGCTTCAAAATACAAATGCTCAAGAATGTTACCAGCCTGCTTCTCAACATCTCCTTTAAACGAAGTATATACTTCTTTCAGGAATGTATCACTGTACGTTATCAACTCTTCAGCATACTTCTGTTTTTCGGGATCCTAAACCAATTTACAAGTTGTATCAAATTTAAAAGTTCTGCTTCCTTTTCTTCTCTATTTGGTGCCAAGCCACGAGGATTGGGGGTGGGGGGTTGTAAAATAAGAACAAGTCAAGTTTAGGCCAAGAATGAATTTTGCAGCTTACATCAGGTAGAAGAGATGGCCCCTCAAAGTTGCTGTCAACATAATTAATCAAATCAAGACTCTCTCCAATCACTTTGTTGTCGTGCTCCAGAGACGGCACCTATGGAAAATAGAAAACAAAAATACATAATCAGAAGCAAAGGCCCCTCATTCATGTATTAGAAACCATGAATTTGAAGGAATAAAGTTATTTTTTGGCGAGTTACAAGCATGCTTAATCTTATTCAGGAGATTTCTAGCATTTGTAACTGGCATATATCGCACGTTAGGCAATTCCACTTCCATTTTTCCATAAGGCTTTACACTTTGATATAACATTGCAGCTAGCAAGAAGTTAAGCTCTGTAGAAATAATGAACTTTGTGCTTCAAGGGGTCGTTTGGTAGGATGTATTAGGGAAAATAATACATGTATTAGCTTTAGTATTATTAATCCCTTGTTTGGTAGCGTTTTTCAACCTTGTATAACTCATACTTATATTAGTTATACACATTATTCAGTACTATTCTTATACATAGGAAACTATGACATTAGCAATACCAAAGTTTTTAATACATGGATAAGCATGTATAAAGACAGAACTGATTTTAATACACCAAACCAAATAGTCGATAAGAAATAATCTCAGCAAAACTAATCCTAGCCTAACTAATCACAACATTACTAATACACCATATTCAATATTATTCTTATACACACTACCAAACGACGTTGCAGCATGAGAATTTACCTTATTTTGCGGGTAAATTTTTTCTTTGTACCAAGCAGGCCTATTCTGAAGATCAATTGGAACTAATTTGATCTTATCTTGCAATCCCTGCAATTGTCAAAGTTTATTTACTTCCATTCACTCGTTAATCATACATTCATTTAGATAAATTCAAGATTCTAAGTAATACAGGGATTGTCAGACCCAAAAAAGAAAATAAGAGCAATTACCAAGCTAATTAACAATTTAAAAATATTAATATGGATATGAAATTTAGCATTAAACGAACCTTGACATTTCTGGTGATCCATACACGCTGAGCAAAAGGGCACTGATAATTGATATACAACCTTCAAAACAAAAGAAAAGAAGAACCACAGTTCAAAATCTATCAAAAAAAAAAGAGTCAGCCCAATGCACAAAGTATCCTGCATTCACAAACAGGGCCCGGGAAGAGCCGCACCCATAGGGGTGTGATATAGACAGCCTACCAACGCAAGCATTAGTGGCTGCTCCCATGTCAACTTTACCATTCACAATCTATCAAATAAAACAAATAACGAAAAAAAAAAGAAGGAACAGAGATAGTCAGAAAAAGGGTAACCTGGTAGTTCCGTCAAACAGAGTCGGGGGTTCAGAGGTAGAATCAAGAAATGGAGGAAGAACCTCTTGTACACTTCTGTAGAAACCAATTAAACCCCATCAACCAAAAGAAGAAGTGCAAAATTACTAACTTTTTATGTGTACACATACAACTACTTGTATTAGTATACGTACTATGTATACAATTGGGACGACATAACAGAAGCCTAAAAGAATATTAAAAGAGGCTGATAAACTTACGAAGTAGCCATATATAGTTGCTGGTAGAAATGTGGGGGTGAAATTAGATGATCAATGGGAAGGGAAATTGGAGCCTTTATAGCATGATCAAGGTATGGCGTGAGCAGAGCAGTGACGAAATAATTATTGAAATGCTATAAATGATCCTTGGCAGAATAATTGGGGACCCTCAACTTTGACAACTTTTGTTCCCAACTTTCCTAACGTAAGTCTTGTGCGGCTTCCGTTGATTGTATTTGGACGCCAAAGCAGTCTCATTCATAGTTATGTTGTTGTTGATTATTGGTTAAGAATGAAAGCATCAATTCTCACTCCATCAATTTTAGCTATCGGTTGACATGGACACAAAAGTGTTCATAATTCTAAGATCATCTGCTGGCGGACCTAAGTGGTGGCTAGCGGGTTCAACTCAACCCGCTTCACAAAAAAATAATATTGTGTATATATATAAATTAGGATTAAAACTGTTTAAATTTTGCATAAATATTTTATTTGAACCCACTTGACAACTACTATTTTACGACTAAATTTATATACTTCTGGGCCCGCCACTGCATCTACAACCGCAACTGGGCTGGCTTGGCCCACAAAACTCACCAACCCGACCCACGAAATAGGGAGATTTTCATTACTAGCAGCCATTTCTAAGTAGTAGCAGTAAAGTATTTATACATATATCAATTTCTTTTCGATTCAATTATGGTATAATATTTATATCCAGTGTGAATCAAGCTCTTGTGAAGAGAAACGGTCCTAGCATATTTACTATATTTCCTATTCCTCTTTTTTCGTGGTAAACCATTCTTCCATACTTAAATAAAAATATTTTCCTATTTTTTCGTTTAAACCAAGCCATTCCATTACAGATTTTTTTTTATTTCCATACATGGACTCTTTTGTACAATGTAATCCTAGCAAAACTATACTTACTATGTATAAAATCTTTTGTTTTCTCTATCTTATGTAGGATATATTACAACATTTATATATTTACTTGTTTACCATATAAATTGTGTATGTTCAAAAAATAAACTACATATATTTCGTGAAAAATATAATGTGTGTGTGGTATATATACATTNAATATAAAAGGATTACCAAATTATTAGAAAATAGTACCAACTATATTATACCAAGTATAAACCATCAATTATACACATATAATTAGGGGTGTGCATAGGTCGGGTTGGTTCGAATTTTTTAATTACCAAGCCAAACCAATGGTGTCGGATTTTTAAATCTATATACCAAACCAAACCAATAAAGTCGGGTTTTTCAATCTCGGTTTTTTTCGGATTTTCGGGTTTTTTCCTAGTAAAGTCTTCATAGTACAAAATATGGAACTTGTCCTCCAAATATTTCTTAAGTTCTAGTAAGATACAACTATATAATGTATTTTCAAAGAAAATAACATAATAATATGAGATAAGTCATAGCATTTTACTAAAATATTCAATTACAAAGATAATAAAATTACATAAAGCAAATATTGCTATTAATAAGCCATAATTAAAATTAACATAATCTAAAAATACTATATAGGTCTTGCTAAAATAAATATAGCTAATAAGTACTATTAATTACATAACTAAGCACTAAAGAAAAAGATAAACTAAGTTATGCATTTTTATTATAAACCAATGTAAAACTAAAAATAGATATCCAACACTATCGTCATTCCTAGTGTTGAATTGAAATTCTTTTGTTAGCATTAGTATTAATTGAACCTTGTTTGAGTTACTATATTTATGGGCTATAAAATTTATTTACCATTCAAGAATGTTAAATCCAAACTTGAAATAATACGTTAAAAGATAAAACTGTGAAAAAGTTTAAGAAATACTTATAAATTACATTACAATAAATATTTATGTATAAAATATTTTTAAACAATGTATAAATGTACTATCGGGTTGGTTTGGTTTCGGTTTGACTTTTTTTAGTTAAAACCAAACCAAACCACAACGAATTTTTTTTCCGGTTTGACTCGGATTATCGGTTTGATGCGGTTTATCGGTTTTTTTTGTACACCCCTACTTACAATTATTCATTTTTTGGGCAGCCATTTGCTATGAAGCATATCATATATTTATACATAAGGAATAATAATGGTATATATAAGCATATAAATATTAAATTTTATTACCATTTGTACATATAATATATATAGTAAATAATATATTCCTCACATATACAACATATATGTTTTATATGTCAAATATACATAAAATATATTTGGATTTCATTAATATATATACATAAACTATACATTAAATACATAGTACATACAACGAATATGTACAGAATTATATATTTATTTAAATAATATACATTAATCAACGGTCATATTGATCCTCTTTTTTAGTTTCCAACTGCCAATTTGACATTTTTCTACTTGTTGTTTCCTAAATTTTCTTTATTTACAATACCCCATAACACCTAAACACTATTTTAAAAAAAAGGGAAAAAAATATAGAATATTAATCAACCGAAAAGCAAAAATTATGATAAGCAGTGGCAAAGTCACATGTATTCAAAGATGTCAATTGACACTCCTTTGTCGAAATATTACACTATGTAGCTAGGTAAAAATAATTTTTTATGTATATATACTATTGTATAGGGTAAAATATGATATGACAAGTGGCTAACTAAAAGGAGGAAATGTGGAATCCAAGATGAGATGGTTGAGGACCGAACGCAACTACTGGGCTTGTCACCGGAATGGATAACGTTCATAAAAGTGTATTAAATGCTCTGCGCCAGGTAGCATTTACTAAAGAATATTCTACAACATTAAGAGTGACGATCCGTTCCAGAGAATTTGACATTTATACTCATTACTCAACGTTATATCTTCATCAATGACCCTCATAATTGATATTAAAGGAGGGCATGATCCTAGGACCTTTTTTCCTAGACATAGCTATAAATAGTGAGCTCAATTACCATTGCAAAGGACACGAATTTCCTAGCAAATACATATACTATATTCTATACAAAGCTTTATACAATTTCACTTTCTTACTTTTAGATCTCATCATTATTGTGTTCGGGAACCGTGTTCACGGAATCATCATCTTTGCTATTTCATCTACATTCTAAGGCTAAGTATTGCGTATTTCTTTAATTATTATATTATTTCAGGATCAAATTAGTTCACTTGTCTAGAAATCACGTATAAATTCAACTGTACCATTTTATGGGTAAACAGTTTAGTGCCTACCGTAGGGCCTAGACAGTCGTGCAATTAAATTGATCCTTGCCTCTTTTACTAACGTGTTTTGACTATTTTTGTCTTAGAAAAAATGGCAGATAACACTGTTATTGATGCACACAACCCCGAAATTCGAGGGGATCAACCTCATTTCGAGGACTCAATCAGTGACACCTGCAATGAGGGGAATGCTGCCACGCTGGTGCATGACAATTGGTACCCTCTACAGGTTCGGGAAAGAACTCCCGATGATGCTGATGAGGAGCAAGTAGCGGATGCTGTGAGGATCCTACAAGAGCAACATGCAATCATCCTAGGCCATCTCACGCGGTAGGATCAGGTTATGACAGAAATGAATCAGGCGCTATCAGGTGCTTTGAATAATGTAAACAGACGCTATCTGGTTCCTCCCATTGTTCCCGCAGACCAAACAACACAGAGAATCAATAACAACACTCATAGGGGTGAAGTTGGCTCCGATGGGGCTGGGGGGAGCAGTTTATGTCTTAATAACGAGAACGATTCATTTAAATATGAGCTTTTACGGTTCATGAGGGAAGTGAACGCCCGCATGGATCAAATCCCGAGTGCACCACTAGTATTAAAAGTCCCGAATTCGAAGAAGTATGTTCAATTACCTTACAAGACAAGTGCAGCACCAGTATTGATCCCGAAGCGTTTCAAAATGCTTGAAGTTCCAAAGTATGATGGAACTTCAGACCCACAGGAACATATTACCACCTACACAACTGCGGTGAAAGAAAATAATCTAGCTCCTCACGAAATTGAATCTGTGTTGCTAAATAAATTCGGTGAAACCCTAACGAGGGGAGCCCTAACGTGGTATTCATTACTGCCCGAGCATTCCATAGATTCCTTTGAGATGCTCGCAGATTCTTTCATTAAAGCTCACGTCAGGGCCAAAAAGGTGCAAGCCTGGAAGGCCGACATATTCAAAATCGCACAAGGAGAATCGGAATTGTTACGAGAGTTTGTCACCTGATTCCAGAAAGAAAGAATGTTGCTCCCGGCCATTCCGGATGAATGGGCAACTGAAGCATTCACCAAAGGATTGAATCCAAGAAATTCAGACGCTTCTCGGAAGCTGAAGGAGAGACTGCTAGAGTTTCAAGCAACAACCTGGGAAAATGTTCACAACCGGTATGAGTCGAAGATAAGGATCAAAGATGACCAGGTCGGTTTTACATTATCGGCCAAAGGATGGGAGAAGAATAGAGAAAAATTAACGGATGACTATGACGCAGATAGGCGGACTATGAGGGGTCGGCTTTTGCCTGACGAGCATACCGAAGGCCGTGGCAGAAATTTCCAAGCAGCAAACAAGATCACAATTGACGGAGGGACTAATCGTGGTCGAAACAATAGATCACTTCAAGATAAACAAACGTCGGGGTCTCGAGATCTTTCTTACCCCAGGTTATCAGAATATAACTTCAACATTAGTGTAGTAGAACTGGTGCCAGCCATGAGAGACATTAAAGAAGCACGATTCTCGAGACTTATGAGATCCGAATTTATGGTGCGAATATCACAGGACGAACGGTCACCGGACAAGGGACTGCCGACATCTTCGGGAGGAGGTGGCAATGCTATTAAAGAATGGTCATCTATGAGAATTCTTGAGTGATCGAGCTAAGAACAATTACGGTCGCAACAACGCGGAATCTTCGAAAGCAGGATAAGAAGCCCCACGCCAGACGATCAACATGATCTTTGGGGGGGGGGAACGAAATTAATGGGGTCACCTTTTCGGCGGCAAAGAATAAATATTGATAACTCACAGCAAAAGACTCCAAGAGGACGATATCACTTGCACGTAGGAGGACGTAGACGGATTACTGTTACCACACAATGACGCACTGGTAATCTCTTTAAATGTATTAGATTTTAAAATTAAGCGTGTTCTAGTGGATCCAGGAAGTTCGGCTAATATCATACAATTGAGGGAAT